CRWRSCTTATTGAGTGGTGGGATATTTTAGTGGTTTCCCCTCTTCATTTAAATGGAATTGAAGTGACTATTTCGTTCTCATTCCTGCTCGGCCAAGTCTTGAGGGAAATCCCCTGGTAAAACACGCAACTTGTGTTAGTCAAACTGTTGGAAGAATGAAGAGGATAAGAGAGTTTTTCGTCCTAAAACAAGGTAAGTTGAAGGGCATGATTATTCTGAATGAGTGTTTCACTGTACTGCGCTGTTAGAAGTAAAAATGGTAATTTTCTCCTGACCGAAGAAAACAAAACAATGTCTCACGGCTGCCCTTTGCTAATGAGGCCACTATTTACAAGGTTAAGTTTATATTTCCCTTATCCAACAATCAAAATACGACTTGGACTTTGAAGTAGAAAAAACTGAAGATTTTATCTTAAGACAAACGAAAAAAATAACACAGGCGATCTCAAAAGTGATACCCTGGGTACCAGAGGTTTTTTCTCACGGCCCGATGATACTTCACTTCGGCGGTCATGCGGTCAAACAAAGACTTCACCGAAACCAGAAACCGGAACTAAAATTACTCGCCTAGTTTCACGCATGAAAGGATTTAATTCATGGATGTCGATTTTATCATCGGCAGACGCTGGTTCATAAAATCCTTGATAATGTCAACTTTGAACACCAACAACAGTGATCATTCAGTAGAAATGAATTGACAAAAATATTGGTGTCTTTAGGGGAAATTCTAAGGCAAGCAACCACAGATGAAGAAAGCCTGTCCGAGGCAACAAACTGTGATCCAATGCCTGCAAGTAGTAATGAGAGTGAAAAGTCTAGTTGTTCCTCTTCAAAAACTGCTTTCCGAAAGAGTCCTCAAACAAGTAAAGGACCTTCTCAACTTTCATGCTTTAAAGAAAGGGAGACAATTATGTTGAACAACACTTTCCCTGACATAGATGTGCACCAGCAAAACCTGTGTGGTATTAAACACACCTGTGAACTTGTATATAGTGTCAAATTCCCAACTGAAAAGCTTTCAAAATTCCAGCATTCTATGCTTAGTAGACCAGAAGCATATGATCCTGAAACGGGGATATGGTGGCTTGTTTTTCAAGCAAATGAGGGTATGTTTTGCCTTCTTTGTAAAAAACATGACACTCACAATGCCAAAAACAAAACGAAATACTTTAACAAAATCCCAGCAATAAGATTCAAGCCTGAGACAAACAGAGTACATGCTGACTCTCCTCAAAACAAACTAGCCATACAATTAGAGATGCTGCAGCAAGGATCAGAGTTTCAGAAGCAATTAGATGACAAGGAAAAGAACAAGGGAAAAGAGTGCAAGAAAATTTTTGAACTTGTTTATTGGCTAGCTAAACAACAGTTGCCAAACAGAAAGTTGTCCTCCGTTCTTAAGATGATAGAGAAGATTGCTGGAGTTGATCTGAAATGTCAGTTTCCCTACTCGTCAAAGGGAATTGAAAGAGAGCTGTTTTTAACTCTTGCACAGGTTTTCAAAGAAAAGATTAAAGAAAAGATTGGTAATGGCGTTTATGGCATCCTCACTGATGAGGTCGCCGACATCTCTTTGACGTAGCAGCTTGTAACTTTTGTCCAGTATTATGACAGTCAAAGCTGTACCACCACCACCAGTTTCCGTGCAATACCAAACACACTGAAAGGCAACAACTTGGCAGATGCGCCACAAATCAAAAAAGTACTCCTCGAACAGTTGCAATCCATTGGTGAAAACCCATTGATCCTGTCTTTCCACTGCTTAGCACACAAACTTGCTCTTGCTTGTGCTAGCTCTGCAGATACCCTTGACTACATTGCCCACTGTGAACTACAGTTGAACCAGTTGTGGAAGCTATTTGAGAACTCTGCAAAGCGCACTGCAACGTATCTTAACCCATTAACGGCCACAGCTTTTGTGGAAAACTGTGTTTTGAAGCTAGTCCACCAGATTTCGGGTCACTGTTGGGGTTTTAAAAGCTCGAACTTACCAAAAACCACTTGACAGCTCGTGCACTCGACGGCCTTTCGATCCAAATGCAAAATGGCGGCCTGAAAATCTCGGGCACGCGCAGAGAGCAAAATTTCGACATAGTTTTTGGGTTGAAAAGTCACGCCCCACTTACGACTTCTACTTTTCTCTCTTTCTCCTGCCCTTTTTTTCCCCTCTCCTTGCCTAAAGTTTCTCCTCACTTGCTGGAAATTGAGTAGGCTTCATTTTGGTGTAGAGATTTTTCAGAAACTACTCATTATTTTCAAAGCACATGCTCGGAAAGGTAGGTGGGTAGTGAAACACGATCTTCGTGCAGATTTTCCAGTCAAAGTGACACGGTTTTTTGGCTATTTCTCCAATCTCCTCCACTCAATTGCGCTCATTCTGGTATCGTCTGCAAGATATTTTCAACCCGTTCAAGTACATGCTCGAATTCGTGCTCCAGAGTTAAAATTGATGACGTCACAGGGCGTAGAAAGGGTGTGGGTCCCCATGGGCGCATACGGGCGCACTGGACGTTAATGGGTTAAACTTAATGGTAAAA